GGGCTGGCCCAGTGGGTACATACCGGGTCGCAGGGGCGGCCGGGCCCCCTGGTGGGCTGGGCCCGGCCGCAGCCGCGACCCCTGCGACCCTGGTATGTACGCCACTGTTCATGTGAGAACCCCCGAAAGATGCCTTGTTTTCTCTGGAACTGTATTGGGGCATCACCTCGTGGTCGACCGGTCAAAACTTTATTCAAATGGCGTTCCCGAACCACCAAAAGGATTGTGATATTTTGGCAAAATGTGCGCTCATATCCAAGCTCTTCGGTGATATGACTTTCGTGGGGTTCTGAAGTTATTAAAATGGATTTTTGGATGTTTTAAAATAGTGTTGATTTTTCGGTACCTGAGAGATAATTAATTTATAGTTTTTTCTCACACAATTATCTCTCAGGCACAGAGGATCTTGGTAAGAAAAGCCATGTAATTGTGACTAAGAAACCCCATGCTAGGGTCAATGTATAAAAGCCGAGTGTGGCAGGAATAAAACCAGTTGTACTCCCAGAACTGTGTGCCATCCAGTAGCTGGGGAGGAGGTGGGATATTTATTTGGCGTTTTTCTTGTTCCTGATTGTACTTTTGTGGATCCAGCAGAGAAAAGTCCCTGTTAGGACTAGGACTCTGCTAAAACATGCAATCACACAAACAACCTCCAAACACATAAAACACAACAGAGAGCATCCCAACATATGCAAAGCACACTTTAACTGTCCTGTTTCATTTTTGTTCTCTGTTAACCACTATTGGGGACACCAGTGACAAGTCACTGTCAAACACATATTCTTGTAAAAAGAAAAAAACAGGATTTTTTTCTCCATCCGAGAGCACTGCATGCTCTGGAAGGGCATCACACTAACATACCCACTGCCTGTTACTATGCTGGCTGCCGAGGGGTAGCAGGAAGGAGAATATGATAGCCAGTTTGCAGTTTCCCTCTCTCCCCACCACTGTCTCCTGTAACTCCATCCTCCACTCCTCACAGAGGTAAACTGCACATGGAGGCAAAAAATTGAGAATTAAAGGTAGGTCAGGGAAAACAGCAATCTCCTTAAAATAAATTGTAGGCCTGAGAATGAACAATGTGCTTGATTTCACATCCAATTTCAGAGTTTTAACACACATCGCATATGGCAAATTTATTACATATAATAAATATCACTTAATCGGGATGTGTAGATTTTTCATGCACAAAAGTAGGAAGTATTAGCCATAGTAAGAACAAGTCCTCCCAAAATAAAAAGTAAAACATTTTGTGAAAAAGGTGATATAAATGCAAGTAATAAATAGGCACTATTAGCGGCTAGTGCTTTCCTTGTCCCCATTTTGCTATCAATTAACCATTAGCGTCATGTTGATAAATCTACCCCATATGTGTTGGAAGGCAATGTATCAAATACAATGATTGATTGCCTTAATTTTCACCACATTTCCTGTGTCAAATACAGTGGTCTAGTTCAGGCCAGTTAAACAACAACCAGATCAGCATCATCTAAGACACATTTACTGCGTCTGACACAGGGCAGGAAAACTGTAATGTGCATTAAATGTACTTTTTGGTGGATTTCATAAACAACGTCTATATACTTACTAATCTTAGAGAGTCCCATGATAAATGCATTATCACAGTGCCCTTCCATTGTAAAAAAACGTACATGATGGATTTTAATATGGAATAGCTATATGCACAGATACTTATGATTTACCTCCTGGATAAATAGGGTATTAGTTTCAGTGAATTACACTGATTTGGGCTGTCTTATTAATGTCCTACCTGCATGGTATCACAATGCGCTATGTATTGAACTGTGATTATATCATTTTCATGCAAAATGAGCAGCCTCCAAGATAAATTATGCCATTTTTTTTTACAGGATAGGGAAATTGTGGTAAATGACCTGCTATGTATTAAGATGGAAATACAATGAATACAAAATATGATGATTAGTAATATATATGCAGTCAGAATCATTAATGTGTTTTCTATTTCCATTTTCATGAAATCTGGATTGGCAACTTTAATACACAGATGGGGGTTGGACTATAAAAAAGAGGGGTTCAATTATTTTCAAATTTGATTTGATTTAAAGGATTTGACCCACCAGCTTTCATTATGTTATATTCTATTCAACATATGCCTGCAAGTGGTATGTGTGATGCGAACATTTATTTGGAAAACGTCAAACCCAAGTATGTCCTTTGTTTGCTCCCTCTATGATTTTCAATGAAGCATTTCAAATTAAAGGGACACTATAGTTCACCAGAACAACTACAGCTTAATGTAGTTGTTCTGGTCTGTATTATCTGTCCCTGTGGGCATTTTAATGTAAACATTGCCTTTTCAGGCAAAAAGGCAGTGTTTACTTTACTGCCTGGTAAAACCTCTAGTGGCAGTCATTCAGACTAGCAATAAATGTGATTCCTGGGTCACTATGTGCAGCACTGACATTTAAAGTATCCACACCCTGCATGGAGGCGCTGAACATTCCCTATAGAGATGCATAGATTCAATGGGAAAGTATTGGATTGGATGAGGTCATCAAGTTTGATGATCTCAGCCAAGGAGGCAGATT